CTCAGTGACTCACAAACACCCTGAAGGGTCCGTTTCTGCCTGGTCCTGCGTAAGAGTGAACCATAATGTGCACAGAGGGGCCATGACTCAACCCAGCCTCCTCAATACACAGCAAAGAAGTGAGAAGAGGAAATGAAAAATAAAGGGGAGATGGCCGATGGCCTTAAAGGCAAGTAAGTGTCCACAGAAAGATAAGTGTAGCTTAGGAGAGAAAGAGAAAGCAACAGAGAAAACACAGAGAGAGGTAATACTGCTTTCAAGGCCTAATCATACAAAAGCACAGATTATTTACATATAAAAAAATTAATTGCTTTCTGACCATTTGTTTGTGATGGGTACTGTTAATTTTTTGTTTGATGTGATTATTAATGTTAATCCTTTGTTTGATGTAATTAATAATGCTAATCGAGTGCTAATAAATACACAATCAAAACACAGTAAAAAATTTACTAAGGCGCATTCAAGAAAGTTTTCTCCCTACTGGAAGTTGGGAGGAAGCACTTCTGAAAATAAAGAACAAAGGAGAAGATTTAACTACAGTTTTGGGAAAAAAAATGTTCAACATAGGGATGATTCAAAATTTTCAAACATTCAAATAGTCATGAAAAATTGAACAGTAAATTTGAACACTTTATATGTAAATTAGCTTCTCTCATACTGCAGATGAGATGTCGGAATCCTATACTCCACAGAGGGAAGCATAGAAAGCGCATCTTATGTTAGGATCAGAGATTCTTATTTATTTATTCTAAAAAGGCAAGCATAGAAAGTCCACTGCAGCTGACTAAAGGCTACTGCACACCAGACAAGAAGCACCAAAAAAAAAAAAACTGGAACTGTGGTCTAGGTCTGTGTCTCACATGGTACAGCAATATTAAGATGCAGATTGCCGTCAAAGCCTTTGGTGACGGTGACCTGATGGGACCATGTGCAGTAGCCTTAAAATTTGTATCCTTTTATTTTATTTTATTTTATTCATGAGTTATTGAGGAGATTATTAAATTTGACTGAAATGCCCATCCCCTTTTCAAAACAGTGTACTGACATCTTTTGAAAAACCACAAAACTAAAAATTAAGGAGTAACTTTGTTCTATTCACACTTACTGTCAGACTTTTAATTTGTACAAATATTGCTTTTGATGCTGATAACATTAGGAAAACATGCTGTGAAAGGCTTTATAGAAGCACTTTGGGTTATTGTACTGTTTATAACTAGTTTCACTAGTTATATAAGATCATTCTTCTGCACAAGAACACGCTACTTCGCAATCTTTTGTTTTAAAATACAGTTTGTACTTATTTGAGCCAAATCAAACTGTTCAGTATATAATTACAGCTCTGTAGAATCAAAACAGTTTAACAGTATAAAATACTGAAAAATCTAATTAAAATCTGACCTCAGAACTAAAAATCACAGCAAACGTCAAGATATGTATTGTTACACCCCGAAGACACAGTGCTAATATTTAGTTTACTGATTACTGAACTTTGAGTAATAACCACTAATGCTGATACAAACTTTTGCTGTTTTAATCACTTCTAAGGCCTCCATGTGCATTTATTAGACTCGTTCGTATGAGCACAGAAAAAACTTCAAGCTGGATAATTTCAATCTACTGTGAAGAAATCTCATTCCACAAAAGCACATAAAATAAAATTATTACAACAGTATGTGTATTGCAAACATCAATACTAGATGTCAATAAGGTACTTCGGGGCTAGAATCATCCGGATACTCATTCTGGTTATGAGTGCTGTGTGTATATCGCTGAAAGAGACAAAGCTAAAGAGGAAAGAAGACAGAAAGCAAGGAAATAAATATAATAGCAATGCCTTTAAGCTTCTTCATAATACCAGTGTCATCGTACAGGGCAATCGAGACCCATATGTCTGCATTTAACAATAACAGCAGACCACTGTTAAGCTCTGCAGGAAAATTCGATACAAGTGTGTGCCCCAGAGAGCTTAGAAAAACAGATCAACAGGTTCATACCCATCTGGTGTAAATCTCCAACTCACCCAATACACACACACACACACACACATACAGGGGTGGAAATGGAGTAAATGAATGCGGTCGCCCACACACACACACAGCTGCAGGGGATCTCAGAGGGGCCAAGGATGTGCAGAGAAGGTGTGATAGGTTGTTGTTCATCAGCATTAAGGCAGTAATGGCAGAGTGCAGAGTGCATAGCCTCTGAGAAAGGGAAACTCCTGCAGGGCAACACACACCAGCCAGATGCTTAAAATGCAAGACTGAAAACTGTGTGCAGGTTCTACAAGTTTCACTTTTAAAATAGAAAGGGTAAAACTATTTCTTTTTGGTTTAGAGCAAGGCTTAGGAAATATATATATATATATATATATATATATATTTAGACATAGACACACATATATATATATATATATATATATATATATATATATATATATATATATATATATATATATATTATACACACACACACACACGCAGATACAGCGTCCTGTGACCACTGATGAAGGACTAGAGGATCACCAACAAAAACTGTGCGGCAGCAGATGAGCTATCGTCTCTGACTTTATATAGTGTGGACAGTGTTTAAAAACTCCAGCAGCACTGCTGTGTCCGATCCACTCAGACCAGCGCAACGCACACTAATACACCACCACCACGTCAGTGTTACTGCAGTGCTGAGAATGATCCACCACCCAGATAATACCTGCTCTGTGGGGGTCCTGACCATTGATGAACAGGGAGAAAGTGGGGCTAACAAAGCATGCAGAGAAACAGATGGACTACAGTCTGTCTTTGTAGAACTACAAAGTACACCTACAGTGCGCTCCACAAATATTGGCACCCCTGGAAAACATGAGCAAAACAGGCTGTAAAACATTCTTTACTACTTTTCCTTTTGATCCGTCATTCAAAATGTTAACCAAAATCTAACCTTTATTTCAATTGCCATGATCGAATGAAAAAACGAAATCATATCATAAAGTAAACACTTTTCTCAAATCTGTGTGTGCCACATTTGTTGGCACCCCTTCATTTAATACTTTGTGAAGCTTCCCTTTGCGAAGATCACAGCTCTGAGTCTTTTCCAATAACGCTTAATGAGGCTGGAGAACACATGGCAAAGGATCTGAGACCATTCCTCCATACAGAGTCTCTCCAGATCCATCAGATTCTGAGGTTCACACTTGTAGACTCTCCTCTTCAGCTCATCCCACAGGATTTCTATTGGGTTTAGGTCTGGGGACTGGGATGGTCATGGCACCTTGATTCTGTGGTCAGTGAATCATTTTCGTGTTGAGTTTGAGGTGTGCTTTGGATCACTGTCCTGCTGGAAGATCCAACCATGGCCCAATTTAGGTTTCCTGGCTGAGGCAGTCTGGTTTTGATTTAACATCTGCTGGTACTTGACGGAGTCTATGATACTATGTATCTGAACAAGCTGACCAGCCCCACAACATCACAGCTCCACCACACACTTCAAAAAGGGGACAAGAAAATCTTTGTGTCTACACCAAAGTGACCCATCAAAAAGCTCTGTTTTGGCCTCATTTTTGACCATTTAAGTATTCCTAATCACTCAGATGAACTTTAAAACATAAAATATAAATGGGGAAACACTTAGTTAGATTTCACTTATAGGAATTTGAAGGGGTGCCAAAAATTGTGGCACACATAGATTTGAGAAAAATATTTGTCATGATAAGATTTAATTTTATCCTTTCAGTTTTTACACTTCAAAAAAAATTCTATTTTTGTTATTATTTGAATTAAAGATCAGAATAATAAGCATTAAAGAGTTTTTACAGCCCATTTTGCTTATGTTTACTAGGGTTACCAATGTTTGTGGAGGGCAGTGTATATGGTAAGTGGACCTGATAAAATGGACAATGGGTGTGGATACATGTAGATTTATTTAATGAAGTGGCTGGTTAGTGTGTATATGTGATCCACAGTTTAACAGCAAATCCACCTCTAAATGACTCAAAAGAAAGAAAGTTTAGGTGTACAAGAGGCTTTAAGTCCTGACTTGAACTCAATTGAGATCCTGTGGCAGGACTTTAAACGGGCAGTTCATGCTCGAACGCCCTCCAGTCCGGCTGAATTAAAGCAATTCTGCAAAGAACAGTGGGCCAAAATTCCTCCAAAGCGATGTGAAGGACGGATTCAGTTGCAGTTGTTGCTGCTAAAGGTCGCACAAGTTATGAAATGAATATTTAACAATGGTCTTTTGTTTCCCTGTGTTCTTCTAGTCTTATATAACATTCTGTATTAGGGTATTAAGATCTGAAATACTTTTTCACAGCACTGTGTCTATATATGTGTATAGATAGTGTGTGTTTCAGCAAAGCTGATTAAATTGCTGTCTGTTCTGTATATAAGACTGCAGAAATATTTAATAAATGTCTTATTTTTGCTCTGGTTTCCTCCCTCAGTCCAAAGACATGCAGTCAGGCCGATTGGAGATACTAAACTGCCCCTAGGAGTGAGTGTGTGTGAATGTATATGTCTGTATGTCTGCCCTGTGATGGACTGGCGACCTGTTCAGGGTGTTTCCTGCCTTCCGCCCTGTGATAGTCTCCAGTTCTCCACCCAGGAGAATAAGTGGCTTAGATGATGAGTATAAGTGTGTCTTTCCTGCGTGCCAAAGCATATGTTTTGGAAAGTCCCCCATGCCTGTGTGTGCATGTGTGTACATGTCTGAGTAGCCTCTTAGCACATTAGGCTGTATAAGCAGGCCCTGAGGTAAGCTCTATAATAAGACAGGAGTGACATTAACAGTCCTTACAACTCTTCTCCACCTCGAACAATTACTTTCCCTCTCACTCCCTTCCTCTCTCGCCCTTGCCATCAGCCTGCAGGAGATTGTCCTTCATCACTAGCTCCACTTTATACTTGCGGAGAAGCTTAGAGAAAGTTTACACAGCCCTGAGGAATCCTAATTAGCTGTGGGTATGGGTAGCCTGGAACATTGTTACTGCTGGACAAAAGGATGCGCACCTGTGTCCACCTTGGATTTGACCCTGGCAAGGTCGATGTGACGAGGCGGGCGGACGGGAGCAGCAGGCTGTCGGGGGTTGGGTCTGCGACGTTCCGAGAACTTACTGATTTTCGAGAGCGGAGCAAAAATTCCTGAGAGAGTGAGAGAGTGACAGAGAGAGAAAGAGAGAGTGAGAGACTTTTTACTAGGGCTGCGTCATATGGATCATACATCATATCATAATCATCACACTACATATTGTGATTGTAATATGCCTTGGGCCATTTAAACACCACATTAATTATACATATTCACATAAAATTAAGTTGAAAATAGATATATATACAAAAAAACCACGACGTGATTAAATACTGCCCTGTGGTATTTTGATTAAAAACTATTTTACATATTGGATTAAATGAACGTCCTAATTCACCCACAGAAACTCATCTGAAATGTCTGAGATTTGGTCAGGATGCTCACAGCACAGCATTAGAAAACTGTGACTCATTAGAGGCTCATCTGCATATTGCAGCCTTCCGTGATATCGGAAGAGTAATACTGTCAATACAGTGATAACGAATAATAAATGATAGAACATGCAGCCCTACTTTTCACTACCAAGATATTCCCAGCAAAGTCTCATAAGAAGGAAAGACAAGTGTGAAGGGTGAGAAGAAAATGAGGTCAGCTAAAATGACCTCTTCGTCTTATCGGTGGGTGGGTGGAGAGCAAAGTGCTTTTCTGAACACTGTGAAACAATGAGCGTAGTGTCAGCTTGACATCTTCAAAAGCTATTTTTCAACCAGTCAGTTTTTCAAGTGTGAAACAAAGAAATGCTATCCAAGACATTTTGTTCCAATGTGCAATAAATGAGATGCCTACAACTGGTCAAAAATGGTCAAATGATTTCAGCTACCAATCAGTTATTTATGGTGCTTTGTTTCCTTTTATAGTTTTCAGCCAAGTGGAAGTACTAGACGTTCTGTCATAAGCAGGGGTTGAAAAGGGACATAATGCATCCAAATACTGTTCCAGGAGTAAAAGTAGGAATGGAACAGCATTCCAGCTCAAACTGAAAACCTGGGTTTCCATTAGTGAGTAAATACCGGCATTTGGCAAGTAAATTAAAATCTCACCAGACACAATGTCAAATTAAAATATTTCCCTGAATTCCATGTAAAATTTTCCATGGACTGCCTCCGTTTAACTTAAACCTCAGCTTAAATAAAGTCTAAAATTGGTTTATTTTAGCTTCATCTCCACATTATTTAACACTAAAGCCTCAGCATGTTTTATTTCAATCAAAAATGCCTGTATTTTATAAGCAATGTGGAATATACTGAGGGAAATAATGCCATTTTTAAGTGTTGAAATATAGCCATTAGTTAAGCTAGGCTATAAAACATCATGTCATATGTGCCCTCTGTCAAACAGTGAATAAGAGTGAGATCTAAATGTTGTGCGCATAAACTTTACTTAATCATTTTATGAGCATCAACATATTTTTGTTCTGATCTAATGGTCCATAAAGACTCTCGCCTGTTGAATCAAAACGTGTGGTCTGATAAACATGTGCCATTGGAACTACTGAGTTCTGGTTTAAAGCTGCCATGAAGACAGAGAAAATAGAAATGTTTTCTTTAGCATAGAGCTTTATTTAAGGCCGTTGGAGAATATGCAGTAAGTAGCATCTGAATTAGCCTCATGTAAAAAAAAAACACTATTGGCTGGATATTTTTGGTTGGTGGACTATTCTCAGTCCAGCAGGGACAGTGATGTGTTTAAAAACTCCAGCAGCACTGCTGTGTCTGATCCACTCAGACCAGCGCAACACACACTAACACACCACCACCACGTCAGTGTTACTGCGGTGCTGAGAATGATCCACCACCCAAATAGTACCTGCTCTGTGGTGGTCCTGTGGGGGGCCTTGACCACTGAAGAACAGGTTGAAGGGGTCTAACAAAGTATGCAGAGAAACAGATGGACTACAGCCTGTAATTGTGGAACTATACAGTGCACCTATATGGCAAGTAGAGCTGATAAAATGGACATTGAGTGTCGAAACAAGGAGGTCCTTTGGATGAAGTGGCTGGTCAGTGTACATGAGTAAGACACTTTTGTGTCTTTTTATTATCAAAATATTGATTGTTTCAATTGTTAGACACTTCAAGCTTTTCTTGACTTTAATACAAAAAAAATTCTATATTGTTTTGAGTGCTGGAAATGCATTAGATTCACATATTTTTTAATTGACTAAAAAATAAAGGCACATTTAAGGTGTGCAGCGGTGAGACATTGACAGTCATACCATGTTTCATCGGGCAGGTAAAGTACTGGACTCCAGCCACAGATCCATCATTCTTCCCCTCAGGCTGCTGAAGCTCCACTCCAGCCCACAGGCCACCGGCAAACTCTGTGCTGCCGCAGAAGCGCAGTGTGCCCACCTGAAAACACATACACAGAAGCCGTGAGAGAGGAATTAGAGAGACCTTCACTCCTTAATTTGTAAAACCGTTACAGGGACCACAAACGCAGGGTACTTACTGAAATACTCGAGCAAACAGAGGGAGGACTCCGCAGGGAACAGCGAGTGAAATCGTTTTCTAGTCATGTGGGGTCGAGGGGAGACAATGCTCGCTCAATAGACCTGTTTCATGCTTTCTTTATCATGCTCTCTCCTCCAGAGAGCAATCAAAAGTGATTACTTCTTTATACCAGATGCACACACACATACATATCCACACATTTACGCACACAGAAGTGTATATATAGGCCAGTGCAGACGGCCGCGAGAGAGCGGGGCATGTTTTTGCGCGCCTACATTCATAAACAGGCAAATGAGCTCGGATAAAAATAACGTTAAAAGTAAAACAGAGATCAAAGGGAGCGGGTGGCACCGAAGCGCCCCGACAATAATGGGGTTTTGATTAGCCAATCTGCGGATTCTCGCTGCTCAGCGCACTTTACTCCCAGTGTGCTGCGGGATTTCATTAATGGCTTATTCGCACGTGTGTGTGTGCGTAGACGAAGACTTAAAGGAGTTATTCTGCAAGGACAATGCAAATCACAGCTCCATCCACAACCCAGAGAGACAGCTCATCTTTGCCCCTCCTCCTGCCCTCATTCAACTTAATCCACCCACAGAGCCAGATGACCAAGCCAATGGCATTATAAATGGTCTGCCAGCTGCTTATAACACAGGCATCCAGCATGTAGAAGCAGTTTTATATTGTTACTTTTTCCTCTCAATTTTTTTGAAAACTCAAAATTGTTTTGGGCCACATTTTCTAAACTACCTGCAAAAGCTCACAGCCATCAGCAACAAAAATGAAATGTAACTGTGATCTCGTAATTGCCGTTCCAAGCAGCACTCTCAGTACAGTCATCTTCGTCTTGCCTCCATCTTCCTCTTTCCATTTATTACTAAGCTTTAGCAGAGCAAACACACACAAAAAGTAGGGCTCCCTTCTGGGTATAAATAACTTTTAACTTCAAACACAACAGAAAAAAAAAACATCAATTTCACTTAATTTCTAAGTAAAAAATACATATAACACATCCTCTACAGAGAACACACTTGTGCACATTTTAATACACAAATAGTGCTTATTTGCTGATTTTAACATATTGGAAAAAACTGCACAAGAAAAAAAGGTATGACAAATAAACAGGAAGAGTGCACTAAAATTTGCAGAAAAATGCTGGACATTACTCTTTATTATTTCATTTCCAAGTACATTTTTTCAGCATCAGAACAACAGAAAACATATATTTAGCAGAAAATTACACAGAGGCCTCAACAGCTTAAATATAATTTCAAAAGTTTTCAGCATTTAGTGTGTCTACCCTTTGCCTTTATTACAGCATCCATTTTTTTGCTTTCAGTTTAAAAAAAAAAAACTGCAGTATTTCAGTCTTCTAAGTTAGCTAGATTTTCTGCTACTCACAATCCAAGTAATCCCACACATATTCAATGATGTTGAGGTCTGGACTCTGGAGTAGTCAGCTCATAGTTCTGAGATCACAGTCAGCTTTGTCTCCTGTCTCTTGTCTCTTTCTCAGTAACAGCTTCTTGACAGCTACACATCTTTTCAGACTCATAGTGTTGAGTTGTCTTCTCACAGTGGAAGGATGGACAGAAACACCTGTGGATGTTTTCAGATCTGAAGCAGCTTGATTTTCTCCTCTCTCAAAGATGAAAGCTTTAAGTGCTGTTTATCTGATGGGGGCAGTTTTGGTGGTCTATCAGGTCTTACATAGCCCCAGTATCTTTTAATTATTTGCAGTTTGTTGTTACGTTTCCTGTTTTTTTTTTGTTTTGTTTTTTTTTCCCTCACTGATTTCCCTTTTTACTTTCGCCAAGTGGATCTTTTCATCTTATCTCCTCAAAATATCTGATCAATAATGAAAAACATTTTTGAAATCTTGACTGGAAATTAATTAACCGAGGGGTGGTCTGTGACTTTTGCACAAAAAAATAATGTAAATGGTTGAATATAATGATAGCCGGTTGTAATTGGTCACCATACGGTAGTCAATGACCCTATTTCTAAAAGCCCAACAGCCCAAAAGCATCTAATTCCTGTGGGTCATAAAGCAGCCCAATGTTGAATTCCTGCAAATTATGGTTCAGCTCTTAGCCAAAGCTGAAGGCAGAACACACAACTATTTTCTGGTCAAAGAATGAGAATATGAGAGGTGATAGGGACATTTCAAACACAATGTAAATTCTCAGTTTTGTTTAGTACTACCTGACTCTCACCTGCTGGACAAAACTCTAATGGGCAGTTTTAAGCAATCCGTAACACTATCCATCACGCCTGCTGTCTTCGTTCCACTCAAATTCTTTTTGTCTTGCAGCAGCTGTGGTTTGGGGTAATAAAACCTAACCTAGTTACTTTATGTACTGTTTTGGACTAACTTGCTGAAACCTCTGAAAGAAATGAGAAAATATGGCACTCATATTTTTCTATGGCTGATCTAATGCTTTAGATCTGAGGATTTTGGCAGCTGGAGAGGTACACCATATCTTGAGTGAATATCAAAAGCATCTATATTAGTTGAATCCATTTGTCTGAATGGTGCGTTACACTCTGTAGAGAATGATGTACCTAAGAATACTGGAGTCCCTATGTAAGAATATAGTTTTCTTTATTTTATTATACTGTAGCACAGTACCTAGAAAATCATCATTCAATGTTTTTCCCTTTTTATTTGTGAAACCCCAAGGACAGTCATCTTTTCATAGCTTTATGTGGCTTTCCCCTGTTCCTTCTTTAACAACAGTTTAGTCTACTGTTACGAAATGAAGGGTCAGAGAAAATAGTACCTTCTGGCCAGCAATGATGACCTTGTCCCCAAGGTGGATGCCCATACTGGAGAGCTGAGATCGGGCTTTTTCTGAGAGGAGGCTCAGGGGTCGCCCCGGAAGGAGGGGCAGAGCGGTACTGGGTCTGGGAAGCGCTTCCCGTAGCAGAGCCCGCAGCTCTTTGGCTTGGGCTGCAGCGTCCGCCATCTCAAGAGGCATGTCCAGAGGCTCTGGAACCACATCCGCAGGACACTGCCCTTTATCATTCTGTTTGAAAGAGAATAAAAACAACAATGGGATTGAGCAGCTTTTACAAACACTGAGAAGCTTGTAAAGACCTGCAACCAAAAATATGAACATTGTGGGAAAAAACTCGCTTATCTGTTTGTCGTTTATTCATTTAAATCTTTATTTAAACTTGTATATATCAGCGTGTTGAGGGAGAACGCTGATTTGCAGTGTAGCTTAAAAATGAACACTAAGTTGCAAAAACAGCTTTTAAAATAATTGTTTCAATGATGTCATGGAAACCAACATATTTACATGTACATACCTATTCAACCTACAGCAGTCTAGCTCTGCTCATTCACAATGAAGTTATAAGGAGTGTTTCAGACTGCACTGTTTTTTGAATGAGGCGCAATACAGAACAGTCAATCAGAACAGAGCTCTCTCTACACACACACACACACACACACTGTCGGAAGAAGACTTTGTAATGAAGAAAATGGAGAAATTTTTTTTGTTTTTCAGTTTTGACATAAAAACAGCCTGTTAATTCTAAGGGATGAAGAGGTTGGAAAACATGTAAAAATGAATGTTCTATGACTATTTTTGATATATAAAACCACTCTAACATTAAAAGTGGGGGAAAATATACAATTCCCGAAAAATGCAGAAAATTAGACTAAAAGTATATAATTACTAAAACATCAAAGAAATCAAACATTATAATAAATCTAACTAACACAGTTACCAAAAAGGAAAAGCAAAATGACTGTTGAATTATGCACGCAGTTGTTCACTGACTGGTCAAGAACTTGACTAGGATACAAGTGCTCTGTTACTCTTATGTTGGCCTGCATTAGCGCCAAATAAGCAACTTTTTTTTTAAACTTCCACTAGACTAACATTGTGCAAAGATATACAAATATTCTTTGTATAAATGTATCATCCCACTAAATATGTTGCATGAAAACAGAGAATGTCTACATGTATCCCAATTAAAGTAATAAAAATAAACTTTACTCAATTTCCACGTCTTTATGATTGAATGTCTCAATTATGGGTTGATTTGAATTTAACCAGTCAGGTCACTGACATTCTGCAGTCCATGTGCCAAAATCAAATGCATTGCTTGTCTGCTATTGTTAGCAGCAGCTCATGCTGGAGGAGCAATACAAGCATCCGTAAAAAGAAAAATGTTAAAACAAACAGATTATGAGGACATCAAAGTCTTGATGTGTTACAAAAGAAAGTATGCTCTGATGATAAATTCCCTCATTTGATGTGGACCATTTAAAAAATGTGTTCCCACCAGCCGCAGTCTCACTTGGAAGCAGACTGAGACCCCTGAGTTTTGGTGTACCACGGTTCATTTGTTTAGTGTGCACCTGAGAATAGGGGACCACACTAGGGCTGCAACTATCAAATATTTCATTTTTTGAATATTCTATCAAATATAATCTTGAACATATAAATATTCTATAAGAATATTTGAATGTATAAGCTTATACCCACATTTTCCCACTTCGGTAAAAAGCCAAGAGACCTGAAGCATGATCCAGTTATTAGAATAGGTTTGGTAGAGTCTATTGTTCAGGGCCAACATGGACACGGTGTACAGTGCTCTATAAGAGCCTAAGTAAACAGAAGCCAACGTACAGACATAGAGGGCTACCCAACTACAACATACAGCATGCTTTAGTAATATTGATTTCTTAAACAGAAGACTGGGGTAGTTTCCTTTAGACTAAACAGCATTCTGCACTCAAGTCCACGGACATCTCCACATAGCGAGGCAGTGTTCCACTACCAGTGCAGCATGGCACTTGATCATACTGTCTGTACTATTAGGTTGATAGCAGAGGCTGTTGCCTGAATATTGGACACCCTGCACTCTCTCCCCCATTCTGCAATGCGCTCTGACAGCTCCGGAGCTGGCAGCAGGCGGCCGAGATGGCCAGAAGTAATGTGTTGCGCTTGATGTTAATTGGGCAACGAGATTAAGCCTCATACCCAGAGAGAACCTACGGGTGGAGGAAAAGAAAGAAAAACAGAGTTACAGTTGGGTGGCCATTGCTGCAGCAGTCGTTAAACATGAGGCAGAGTGCACCCAGGCAGAGCAGGCCATTTGCAGCGCAAAAGGGCCATTTAAGGTGCCTCCTCTCCGCAGAAGAGGCTGAAGAGGGCTTTGTGCACTTATTTCTTTCAGGAGGATGCCATTTTCCATCATTAGACGCATGCAAATGCTCTGCTCAAGAGAAAGGGAGCATTTTCAATTTGTAATGCTATGATATAAATAAAAGTCCTAGCCACAGGCTGATGTCCTCCTGCACATGGCTCTATACATCAAGTGCAAGAGCTCCTGGTGGAGCATTTACAAAACACTGTTGCTAAGGAGATCCTTCTTACACAGTGTCTCTTTTCACACAAAGCTGCAAATTGCAAGGAAATGCTGTTCTATATGCACATACACACGCGCGCACGCACATATTCACTATAAAGCAAGCGGAGCTCACTTTGATGTTTTACTGCAATTTATCAGAAAACTGAAGGAGGGTTTTCTGCGGGTGCTGACCGCAGGGCTGCACAATATGAATACAAAATACCAGCACTGATTATATTGCTACATATTGCAATTGCAATACACACTTGCTAGTCACTTCATTAGGAACGTCTGCACAGCTGCTCAGTCATACAACTATCCAACCAGCAAATCGTGTAGCAGCAGCAGTGCAGTGCACGCAATACTGCAGACACGGATCAAGAGCTTCAGGTAATGTTCACATCAAACATAAGAATGGGGAAAAAAATGTGACTTTGACTGCAGCATAGTTGTTGGAGCCAGTCTGAGAATTTCAGAAAGTGCAGATCTCTTGGGATTTTCATGCACAACAGTCTCTAGAGTTTATAAAGAGCAGAAAAAAAAAAGAAAAAACATCCAGCAGGGACAAACCGGTCTAACTTTTGCTCTCCCAGTACTGATTCCAATTCCTGAATTCAGGGTATCAGTGGAGAGTGCACTGATACAATGTCAGTGCTAGTTTGTCTTCTTCTTCAATTTAAAATCTGTATAGTAGAGTGATAGGGCAAAAAATAATATCATATCACTTTAATACATTTTCACAATGCTATCTGAATGTCACAATATTTTTTTTGACATTTGATAAGTTGGAACTGACAAAAAGAACCAGTGGTGCCAGGTTTAAAAGTATTGTCAAAAAAAGAGTACAAATGATTTTTATTCCATATTTCACATATTGTGCTGCACTAAATCCAATTAAACAGGACTAATTATGCTCCATTTGTAATGAAACATTCAGGTAGTCAGTGTTCTAGAAGTACTTACAATATCTATAACAATAACAATAAATATCATCATACTTCCTACCACTACTTTATACTTTATAGAATGTACCGTTAAAGTTGAACAGTTTATTCCAAAATATGACATATCTGTTTAATGATTTTTTTTGTAATTGGGTTTTTAAAATGAGAAGCCTTGGATATGAATTTCATATTCAACCATATTTTTTTTTATTTATTTTTAGGGCTACAAAGTCTAGGTGATCGAAATCACTCAAAAATCTGAAAGCCTACACTAAATTGATTGTAAATTGAGGTGAAAATAAATACTCACTGAAGAAGCTGATGTGAAGCAGAGAATATCAGAAAAGCTCTCCTTCACTGAGCTTTTATTTTGACTCACTGTCACGCTTTGTTTATAGAGGGGCTTTTATTTTGAATGGAGAATGTGGAGTTTGGCCAGAATTGTTTGAGTTGACAGGAAGGCTACAGTTACTCAAATACCCACTCTTGTCAACAGTGATGATCAAAAAAGTAAGGTTGAAACCCGAGGGGGATGGGCTACAACAGGAGAACACCAGGTTCCGGTCCGAACAGCCAAGGAATCAGAGACTAGAGTGGGCACAGGCTCACTAAAACTGGACAGCTGAAAACTGGAAAAACGTAACCTGGTTAGATTAAACTGGATTTCGAGTCAAACTCATGTCATGAGTATGATGACTTGAGACTCAACCTGACAAAATCAAAAAAGACTTGAGCCAACTTTGATCTGAAAACAAAAGACTCAGACTTAGACTTGGTCTTAAACCTAATGACTCAGAAAGGCTTGAGACTCAAAGTAGAGAGGCTTCTAGATGCAGGTAGGAGTCTGGTATAGGCATGCTAGAACTGCATCAAATGCAAATTTCATATACAGCAATGTCATCAAGTGTCTGTTACTATGATGCTTGGCTTATTTTATTTCAGAAGACAAGTGAAGCTTGAGAATTCAAGTTCACCTCTATAGCCTAGAAAAGGTTTCAGCAGCATTAATAAGCCCTTGCTCAGCATCTAAACTCCAGTCTTACTAAACTCTTCAGGCCAACTTCTTTCCTCATAGTAGTTAAACAAAAGAAACAGTGCTCTCTCTGTTTGAATGACTAACAGCTTCTGCAGTTAAGACAAGCGTAACATTCACCACAAAGCTGAAGATGACTTTATTCACCACATTATGGTGCTCCTGCTGCACTATTTAAGGTGGAATGGATAATATGAATACGTCGACTTTAGCTTCATACTCTGACCACTGTTTTGATGTCTTTTCTGTAAACCTCATTCAGTGTGGTCATTTTGGTTTCTGTTGTTTGTTATATAAACTCAATTCAAACTAGTTATTTTTAGTTTGCTGAGCAAGTTTTAATGCTGAGATGCCTTTTATTTTAATCATTTGGCCCCAATGCTCTCAAAAATAATCAAAAATGATCTTAAACTACATTTTTTTTCTTACTAAGTTCCCTAATACTTTGAAAATTATTCTCTTGTGTAGATACACTACTCTTTGTGTATCCTACTATATCTGTTATGGGTACCCCTGTACCATGGCTTCTGTAATTTATTAGGAAAGCTATAAAAAAAAACAAACAAACAAACACTTAAATTGGCTATTTTTTCCATTGCCACTATTCTTGATGTCCAATCTTGAAATTGCATTCAATTTGATTTACTTGACTCAAAGATTTAGACTTTTACTTGCAACTTAG